GCCACGGGGAGGACGGCCCTGGGAGGGGCCAGAGGCCGACGAGGGGGGTGACATGATCTGCCTGCGACCGGCGGGCAACTCAAAAGGTCGCAGTGGACCAGCCATAAGGGAGAACGCCGAGGAGACGCACCCCCCCCGCGAGCCGGCGAGTGGTCGACATTATTGGAGGCCCTGGGCAGGGTCAGAGGAAGGGCCCAGGTGAGCCTATGGGACCTGGGGGAAGAAGCAGCCCAGGGCGGGGACGCGGACCCTGAGGGCAGGGGAGTTTAGGGGTCTCGACCCCCCCTGCTAGGTGGGGGAGCCTTTTCCCCGACCTTAGGGCCCTGGGCTGGGGTCCGGAGAGAGGGCGGGCCCGGACCCCCTTCCCCCAACCGCCTAACCAAACCAATTGGAATCGGTCGCGTCAAGGCGTCGATAAACGGAGAACCGAGGGGGGCGGACGTAAGCCCCTCCGCACAGGGGGAGAACCCCCCTACACGTGGTGGAGAATGTGGGCATAGTGGACCCCGAAACGGGGGTTCGGATAAGGGAAAGGATTAACAAAGTCTTGATTGCCAGGAGACAATGGAAGCCAATAAAATTCTGGAATGGTGGACAGAGACCCAGAAGGTACAACAGCAGCAACAGATGCAGGCGCTGCAACAGCTCCTCAACCAGCTCCAGGAGCGCCAGGAGCAGATGGCGCGAGGCGCCCCAACGACGGTAGCGGGGGCGGTAGCGGGGTCTGGAGGAGGAGAGGGGGTCGGCACCCAATTGCCCATAAGGCTGACGAAACTAGGGCCGGAAGATGACCCCGAGGCATTTCTGGTTACGTTCGAGAGGGTGGCCGCCGCCGCGAAGTGGCCACCCGAGCATTGGGCCACCCTCCTCGCACCTTACCTGTCGGGGCCGGCCCAGCTAGCATACCGAGGGATGTCCGCCAGCGATGCCTTATGTTATTATAAAGTTAAAGAGGCTATTTTGGACCAATTAGGGGTAACCCCCGAGACTCACCGCCGGCGGTTTAGAGAGGCCAGGGACGACTCCCGCGAGCGACCACGGGCGGTGGCGCAACGAGTTAAGGAAGCGGGGATGAGATGGCTTGAACCCGAGACTAAGACGGGGGCTCAGGTGGCAGACCTCGTGATACTTGAACAATATGTCAGCATCCTCCCCGCGGAAGGGCAGCGGTGGGTCCGGCGGCACCTTCCGGAGACCTTGGATGAAGCGGTGACCCTCATGGAACACTACCTAGCCGCAGAAGGGCCTGAGGGGAAAGGAGCCGCTGGGGCACCGAGAGAACACCGAAGGAACGAGGCTGGGACGGGTAAGCCCACGGGAACCCAGCGGGCTGGGGAAAGCGCCGGGAGTTCCTTGGGCCCCCTCCCGACGAGGAGGTTGGCACCTCGGTGGAACAGGCCGATCGGCGAGACCAGGGGAGACCGGGCGACCGAAACGAGGCCGGGCACCCCGCTACCCGAGGGAGCCCCGAAGGTGGTCTGCTATCAGTGCGGCCAGGAGGGCCACTACAAGCGGGACTGCACCCTGATGGACTGCACCTTTGGACAGAGGCGGGCTGGGAGCTCGGACAGGAAGGCGGCCGGCGCAGCTCAGGTAATTAAACGACTGTGGGTTAATGGGAACCCGGTGGAGGCTATCCTTGACTCGGGATGCGGGCAAACCATAGTCCGAAGGGACGTGATACTTCCCGGGCGGGCCCGGGGTGCTCCCATAGCCCTCCGGTGCGTCCACGGAGACATTCACTACTACCCTACGACCCGGGTACGGATAGGGGACGGGGAGTTGGAAGGAGACTGTGTAGTCGCCGTCGGCCCCAAGTTAGCATACCCCCTCCTGCTGGGGCGGGATTGGCCCGGCCTGAAGCGGCTCCTAGGACAGTGGGATAGCGGAGGACATCCTAAAAGGGAGCCAGAAACTGGGCAGGGGACCTTGGTAGCCCAAGGAGAGCAAGATGAGGGGGGGGCCGAGTCAGCAAGGGGCCCGGACGCCGGGACACCACCCACCGTCCGTCTTGACGTAGAAGAAGGGGACTTCCTCACTCAACAACGCGAGGACCCCACCCTACGGGCAGCCTGGGAGCAGGTGCGCACTACAAGCGAGACGCAGGAGGGGGACCAGCCCAATCAGCCGGACGGGCCACGATTTGAGGTAAAAGAGGACCGCCTGTACCGGGTGTCTTCGGGGGAACTCCCTGGGGAAGAAAGGTGGCAGCTGTTGGTCCCAAGACCGTACCGGTGGAAGGTCCTGGAATTGGCCCACGAACACCCGTGGGCCGGGCACCTGGGCAGGGAAAAAACACAACAGAAAATACTCCAGAGATTCTATTGGCCGGGGGTGTACCAGGAGGTTAAGAATTTCTGTAACTCCTGCCCCCAGTGCCAAAGAACAGCCGGGGGCCGGGTCCCGCCGGCTCCCCTGGTGCCCCTGCCGGTGGTAGGGACCCCCTTTGAGAGGGTAGCATTAGACCTGGTAGGGCCGCTCGAGAAATCTGGGCGCGGACATAATTACATCCTGGTCATCGTAGACTACGCCACCCGGTGCCCCGAGGCAGTGCCCCTGAAAAGAGCCACCGCCCCCGCCATAGCGGAAGCATTAGTTAAGCTATTCTCGTGGGTCGGGCTGCCCCGGGAGTTATTGACAGACCAGGGGACGAATTTAACGTCGAAGGTTATGACGGAACTGTGTAAGGTCTTGCAGATCAGGAAGCTCCGGACGTCAGTATATCACCCCCAAACCGACGGGCTGGTGGAGCGATTCAACTGCACATTGAAGGGGATGCTGCGGAAGTTCGCACAAGAGGAACCCCGGGAATGGGATAAGCTGCTGCCCGCACTGATGTTCGCCGTCAGAGAGGTACCGCAGGCGTCGCTCGGGTACTCCCCCTTCGAGCTATTATACGGGCGGCGACCGAGGGGGATCCTGGACCTCGTAAAGGAGGGATGGGAAACGTCAGTATCGCCTGCCTTGGGGGCCGCCCAGTACGTACAGAAACTGAGGGGGACCCTCCACGACCTAGCGGGCCGGGCCCGAGCGAACCTAGAGAAGGCGCAAGAAGGGCAGAAGGCCTACTATGATAGAAAGGCGCAGGTGAGGGAGTTCGAACCAGGCGAGCAGGTTCTGCTGTTGCTGCCTAGCGGGGAGTCCAAGCTCCTGGCCCACTGGCAGGGACCCTTCCGGGTAATCAGGAAACTCGGCCCGGTCGACTATGAGGTTCGGGTAGACGGGAACCGCCGGGCAACCCAAATTTACCATGTCAACCTCTTAAAGAAGTGGCATCCACGGGAGGCCCTCCTGATTGACCCTCGGGACACTGACATTGAGCTGGGTCCGTGGGGGGAGCCGGAGGTGAGGATCGAGGGCATACGGGTCGGAGAAGAGCTCCCGGGCCCAAAGCGAGAACAGTTGCACCACCTTCTCGACCAGTTCAGGACGGTACTAACCAGCCGACCCGGACAGACCTCGTTAGTACAACACAAGATCGAGACTGAACCCGGCAGAGTGGTAAGAGATAATATGCGCCCCCTTCCCCGGAAGTTATGGGGCACGGTGAAGGAAGAACTCCAAGCCATGTTGGAGTGGGGGGTCATACAGGAATCTCGTAGCGAATGGCGAAGCCCCATTGTTCTGGTGCCCAAAACAGATGGATCAACGAGGTTCTGCATTGACTTCCGTAAAGTCAACGCGATCTCGCGATTTGATGCATACCCCATGCCACGGATAGATGAGTTACTGGGACGCCTGGGGAGGGCGGCCTATTTGTCGACCCTCGATTTAACGAAAGGGTATTGGCAGATCCCCCTCTCCCCCGAAGCCCAGGCGAAAACGGCGTTCGCCACCCCCTTTGGGTTGTACCAATTCAAAAACATGCCGTTCGGACTGCACGGGGCCGCTGCGACCTTTCAGAGACTCATGAACCAGGTCTTAAGGGACCATCAGGACTACGCAGCGGCTTACATTGATGATATTGTGATATTCAGTGAGTCCTGGGAGAGGCACTTAGAGCACATTACGAGTGTATTAAGGGCACTGAGGGAAGCAGGACTCACGGCCAACCCAAAGAAATGTCAATTTGGGAGGGCCGAAGTTTCGTATCTGGGGTACACGGTAGGGAGAGGGAAGCTGAAGCCCCTAGTAGATAAGGTCCAGGCGGTACGGGAACACCCCACCCCAACGACAAAGAGGAAAGTACGGCAGTTCCTGGGATTGGCGGGCTATTATAGACGGTTTATCCCGAATTTTTCCTCCGTGGCCGCGCCACTGACAGACCTCACAAGGAAAGGGCAACCCGAGAGGGTGAGGTGGACCGCGGCGTGCGACGACGCGTTTCAGGAGCTGAAAGACCGGTTGGTCCGGGCCCCGGTGCTGGCCCAGCCCGACTTTAACAAACCTTTTACCTTACAGACCGACGCGTCAGAAGTGGGGTTGGGGGCGGTACTGACGCAAGAGGAGGAGGGACAGGAGCACCCCATCCTCTATCTGAGTCGTAAACTGTTCCCTCGGGAGAAGGGATATGCGACAATTGAAAAGGAGGCATTGGCCCTCAAGTGGGCTGTCGATTCACTAAGGTACTTTCTTTTAGGCGATGAATTTACCGTGGTGACGGACCACGCCCCGCTGCAATGGATGCAGCAAATGAAGGACACTAACCCACGGATCTTGAGATGGTACCTCAGCTTACAGCCATACAAATTCCGAGTCGTGCACCGCCCGGGGTCCGCCAACGGGAACGCGGACTGGCTATCCCGGTCAGCGGAAAACACAGAGACCAGAACTGCGAGTATGGCACCAGGCTTAAGGGGGAAGGTGTGTGGCGGGGTAGCCCCCCCCCCCCGGAACCCGCCGGGACGCCGCAACCACGGGGGAAAGACCCCCCCCCCGGAGGGGAGTGGATCACCGCCCGCCGTCCCCGAACGGGGGGGCCGGCACACCGGCCGGGTGACGAGCCGGGGCCGGCAGATAGTGCAGGGACGGGGGCGCCGGCACACCGGCCGGGTGACGAGCCGGGGCCGGCAGATAGTGCAGGGACGGGGGCGCCGGCACACCGGCCGGGTGACGAGCCGGGGCCGGCAGATAGTGCAGGGACGGGGGCGCCGGCACACCGGCCGGGTGACGAGCCGGGGCCGGCCGGCAGCGCAGGGAGGGGGCGGGGCCAAGCGGACGTGATAGAAACGTCACAGGGAGGACGGCCCTGGGAGGGGCCGGAGACTGACGAGGGGGGTGACGTAATCTGCCTGCGACCGGCGGGCAGCTCAAAGAGCCGGAGGGGACCAGCCAAAGGGGGAAACGCGGAGGAGCCGCATCCCCCCCGCGAACCGGCGAGGGGCCAGCATTACTGGAGGCCCTGGGCAGGCCCAGAGGAAGGGCCCAGGTGAGCCTGTGGGACCTAAGGGGGAAGAAGCAGCCCAGGGCGGGGACGCGGACCCTGAGGGCAGGGGAGTTTAGGGGTCTCGACCCCCCCTGCTAGGTGGGGGAGCATTTTCCCCGACCTTAGGGCCCTGGGCTGGGGTCCGGAGAGAGGGCGGGCCCGGACCCCCTTCCCCCGTCTAACCGCCTATTCAAACCAATCGAAACCGGTCGCGTCAAGGCATTGATAACGGGAAAACCGAGGGGGGCGGACGTAAGCCCCTCCGCACAGGGGAGGATCCCCTACACTTCCCTAGAGGTTTTTAAGTCTCAGCTTGACAAAGCCCTGGCTGGGATGATTTAATTAGGGTTGCTCCTGCTTTGGGCAGGGGGCCGGACTCGATGACCTCGGAGGTCTCTTCCAGCCCTAGAATTCTATGATTCTATAAAAACAAAAGGTTGATTTTGTGAACCTTTTCTCATGCAAGTCTTACTAACTTTAGTGAGTCTACACATGAGTAAGGGCTTCAGGATCAGGCCTAAAACCTCCTAGCATTGTGTATATATACTCCAGCCAGCCTGACCCCTGCTTCAGTTCCTTCTTGCCAGAACAATCCAACAGAGGGAAGGCGAGTAACTCTGGAATGGACATGAGCAACACATCTGAAAGTACAATCGTTACAAAGATAAGTAACTCTTCTTTCTTCTTCGAGTGATTGCTCATGTCCATTCCAAAATGTGACTTACCATCAGTTTAACTCGACTTGTTGCTGAGTGCAGTACTATTCTGCTGAACACCGGGCTTGCTGGGTGAGGAAATAACAAGCCATCAAGGTGTGCACAGAGGACCATGTAGCTGCCCTGCAAATGTCATGAATCAGGACTTTGTGTTAGAAAGGCCACCACTGAGGCTTGTGCCTGAACTAAGATGGATAGGCAGGGCCAGCACCTTGGCCAAGTCATAACACAGTTTGATGCACGTAGTGATACAGGATGAGAGGTGCTGTGACAAAAACAGGAGACCCTTCATGTAGTCCGCAAAGGAAATACAAAGCTGTGTTGACCCCAGGCACGGTTTAATAAGCTCCAGATAAAAAGCAAGGGCACACCTGACATGTAGGGAGTGCAGCGTCATTTCCCTGTCCTGAGTGACATGGGTAGAAAAAACAGGATGGGGTTGTAGCTGCACCTTGTCTTTATAAAGAACAGTGTAAGGGGGCTCAGCGGTAAGGGCTTATAGCTCTGACACCCATCTGTCTGAAATAACCACTACCAGAAGGACTGCCTTGTATGAGAGGTAGGCTAAAGAACAGATGGCCAGGGATTGGCCATAAGCCAAGAGAGCACCAAACTCAGGCCCCAAGGAGGCAACGGTTGTCTGAGGGTAGAGCTGATCCGATCCCCTAAGTAACCAACCCACTACTGGGTCCCCAAACGGGGATGCTGGTCCTGACCCTGCGAGGAAGGCAGACATAGCTGCTAGCTGCACCTTAATGGACAAGACAGCAAAACACTTCTGCTTTAAGGAAAGGAGGTGGTCTAGGAGCAGCTTCTTGGGGAAAGGGGCATACCCTTAGCAAGGCACTGTAGAGAGAACTGGTTCCATTTAGCTAGCTAAGTCATCCTGGTGGTGGAAGGCTTATAACTATGCATTAGAACCTCCCTGACTGAGTCTGAACACTGGAGCTCAAGGCAGTTCAGCCATGCTGTGAGCTGGAGTGACGCTAAGTTTTAGTGGCATAGCCTGAAAAACTGAGGTCCGGCACCTGTGTTATGGACCTGGCCACCGACCATGATGGGAACATGGTGAACTAATGCTGCCTTTGCCATGCTAGTGCAATCAGAATGACTACCACTTTGTCCTGTCAAATTCTGAGGAGGATCCTGGGTATTAGAAGCACCAAGGGGAACACATTGATCAACTGCTCCATCCACACCAGAAGATAGAGTGATGTCTCCTTGAAGAGACAACCCGAGGTGATCCACAGAGTCATTCTGCTTCCCTGGAAGATATGAGGCCAGCAGGCGGATGTTGTGGGAGATGCACAAGTCCTACAGGGCAATGACTTCCTGACACGGGGAAGAAGAGCAAGCACCACCGTCTGTTGATACAAAACATTGCCACGGTGCTGTCTGTCATCACTATCACACGGCTGCCCCTCAACCAAGGCAGGAACGCCTGGCAAGCTAGCTGGACCACCTTGAATTCTCTAACATTGCTATGCCCCTACTGTTATTGTGCCAACCCCTATGGCACTCACAGTCTTACCTAGGAGGACTGAGGTAAAACTGGGCAGGCTGCTGGGGCCTAAAGGCAGGGTATGGATTCTTTAAGGGTCCCTTATGGAGTTCTTCAAATTGTGAAGACAAGAGTCTGTTTTCTCCGCAAGGAAGCCCGAGTGATCAAAAGTCCTGGATGGAGCATTGGACTTCTGGTAGGAGGCAGACGCCTGCAGCTGAGTTGCACCTCATGGCAATCCCTGTAACCGTTGTACAGGCTTGTAACACGACAGGACTCACCACTGTCGGGTCTCCTGCTAGTCACTTGGGAATTAGCCTCTTTAGCCCTGGAGCACCTCCTTCTAGTGTCATGCCCGCTGTTAGCTGTTATTCTCCACCACTTTGTGTTAGGACCCACCCCAACCATGGCGTCCTTCCCTCTGAGTACTGCCCTGTCACAGGGCCCCCACACTCTGGGTCCTCCCCTCAGGAACCCCCAAGTCCCTATGCCCACCTTGTCTCAGTGACCCATTGCCAGTCTTCATCTAGCCCCTGCCTCAGGGCAAACTGGTGGGCACAAGAGTCTATCAAGGGTGGGGACAGGGGTTTACCCACCACTGCCTTATCTGGGAATGATGATGATGCTACAGGGAGTGAGGGTCTTTCTGAGCCAGAGGGTCCTCTACTGCTTCCCCTTCTGTGGCTAGTCCTGCTGGGTTGGCGCAGGCGTGGGAATCAAGGGTGCCCCTCACTTGGCTTGGCCTGTGCCTCCGACATCGGAGTAAGGAGGCTGACATCAAAGCTGACGCTGATGGTGCCACACAGTCTGATGGAAGACAGACTCTGCTATTGCCCTATTACCACCATATGTGTTTCTCTTTCTGGCAGACTGACACCTGTGCTATGTCCCACTGCTCCAGACATACTTGTAAATACAATTGTGTTGGTTAGCAGTCAGATGTGCTCCTACTACAGGCCTTCAACTGCAACAGTCACACTTTGAAACAACCTTTTTTGGATAACACAATACTGTGACCCCTTTCCTAACAAACATTGTAATCACAAAGCACAGATTAACTGCTGGAGCATAGTGCTAGGAGCTCATAGGGAAAGTTAGTGGTCTCATTACAAGAATGGAATTGGGAGTCTTGCTTGCCTTTCGAGAAAGGCAGACCATGGTGAGTTAAATGATACTAAGGTTCTCCATCTTGGGGAGAAATTGTGTTGTTCTCAGTTACCCCTAGTAGCTTATTCAAGCAATTCATCCTGAAAGCAGTATATTGAATGACAGCACATAATGTCGGTCGGGGTGGAGTAAAGTGTTCAAAACACTCTGTAGCTGAGAATTGTTTAGTAATTTGGGGGGAGAGGGTAGGAGAAAGTCTTTTATAGGACAGTTTCTACCAAGAGTTCATGTGACCTTCCTCCATGGCTTAAGAGGGGAATGTTAAGGAAATATCATCTTCCATTACAGAACACATAGCATTTACTGTTTCCAGATTAAAAATTAAAGAATTGGAAACAGATGTTGTGGAGGTGACATGCTTGTTACTCATCTACTCATCCAATTCTCTCATGTTTTCACTGTAGGAACAGAACTGAATGCAAACACATCCCTAATTTTGTTCTTCTATCAAGCATTGGGTAAGACTTACAGATTGATAGTTGGGTTTCTTCCATGGATGGAAAGGGAATTTAGATTTAGTGTGAGACTTTTCTAAAGGGGACGCTGCCTGTCTGAATGTCCACATTTCTTAAAATTCCCTGGGGTTGGAACTGCTGGTTCCATATTCTTTATTTCCTGCATAGTTCTGTTCTGTAAGATAGATTGAGAATGGAGAGAACCTTAAATTTGTTTCTTGGAGGGGAGAAAAAAGAGGCTTAAGTGATCGGCACATGTGTACTCAACTGTGGTTCTAACCAGGAAATAGACCCTACTCATCTTGGTAAATCTGAGTTATAGGAACCAAAAAATGATAGCAATAGATAGTTTTATAATTATTTGTTTCAGATATTATATTCAACTGATGTCACACAAATATTTAAGAGTGAATAACCTTGTTGGAACATATTGTACAACTATTTTTGCACAATTCTATTTTTAGATATAGTAAAGGATCTCTCTACATTGAGGAAACATTCTAGTGACTCTGTGGCCCGTATGAACTCAGGCAATAATATTGATATTACAGCAGCAACAAAGACTGGGGCCCCTGTGTGAGAGGCAATGCACAACCATAGAATAAATTGTGTGTGCCCTGAAGA